AGGGTACAATGTGTTTTGGATAAATATTTTAAGTTGCCGTTAACCGTAGATTAATTATTGATATTGCTATTCACCCTTTTACCCAGTATCTATGTTTTTCAACTCACTTGTATCAGTTGTTGCGCATTTCATATAATTAATAGGCAATATTATATTTGATAATTTGTATGCGTGATATAATACAAATTTAGGTGTAAAAATATGAATAAATGTTCTTAAACTTTTTAAAATGGTATAGTTATATATTATTGAATTAAAATGACAGCTGCAGTTTATTTCATTAAACGTGGTATATTAATATATTATTTAATTGCCTAATTCAACATACAGTTATTATACGCAGGGAATGATTAAGAAATAATTAGGAATAAAATGATGGTTTATAAGTAAACTTAATGAGATTCATATAAAAATTGAAAATAATAGTTTAATTTTATACACCTAGTAATTATTCATTGCTTATACCAACACGGAAACACATTTCTTATATTAACACATAATATTCACCAGCAATCATAGTTTTTCTAAAATATAATTGTAATATTTTATAGACAAAACTGTTCGTATTATATGCGCAATTATTGACCTTGTTAATCAATAAAATATTTAGAAGCCCGCAATTGGGTGTCAGGAGATGACATAGCCCCCCCCCCGCTATTTTAATTGTTTTATCAGTTGTAAAAAAAAAAATAGTACCTATTGGCTGTATTATTGGAGATCTTTGACTTTTAATATAACTTTTAACTTGTCATTAATATTATCATCTATGTATAATTAAATAAACAAAAGGTGAGCAAGTGGGTATCACTCTGCTGTACAGTAGGTAACAAGTGGGTCACTGTAATGGATTGTGTTAAATTTGATTTCAATGACATAATATCATTGAAAAAGAAAAACGATGCCGAGCGAAGACAGTCAGTCAGCCTATGATGTTACTACTAAGTTTATATTTGATGATATTATGGTGAATAAAGTAATTTATATATAACCTATTTAGGTGGAACCTTGTGTTATATTTTCAATCCTTGGCTATAAAATTTGAACATTTTATATATATTTAAATACAAAATTACTTTTATTTTTAAACTTGATAAACGTTGTCAAAATTTGAACTTTAAATGCTTGCAAAAAAAAAATTGGGCCTATGCATTTTTAATATTTTCCAACTGCTATAGTAACAATATAATATCAGGAGCCATGTATTAAATTTCCTCGCTTTTTGCCTAACAAAGAACATTTTATTAACAATTATAGAAAATAATATATAAAAAAGGTGGGTAAGTGGATGTCGCTCTGCTGTACTGTAGGTTACAAGTAGGTCATGGTATAATGGATGGTATTAAATTTGAATTCAATGATATAATATCATTGTATAAGAAAAACGATTCTGAGTGGAGACGGTATGTCAGTCTATGTAGGTATAAGATATATTATATACATATCTATGGTATTAAAAAAAAAATTGACCTATAATAGATACCTATAATAAATTCCAAATTAATCATATCACAATTTCCATTAGGTATCATATATGATATATCCCCGAGTACTATTTTTAAATTACAACGAAAAACCAAGATCGTTAATATTGATTTTAATATGTAATTTCGTCCAAATTTGGATTTAAAATGTCTGTAAAAAATAACTGTGTTCATATATTTTTTAGATTTGTTGGTTACAGTATGAACTATTTATGAGAACTTTTGTTTTAAATTTGCAATCCTTAGCTATAAAAACTGAACATTTTATAATTTATTAATTACAATGATTGATAATTTTCAAGATTTTGATAAATTTTGTCAAAATTTGATCTTTAAATGCTTATAAAAAAAAACTGTGCCTATGTATTTTTAATATTTTTCAACTGCTATTGTAACAATATATCAGGAGCCTTGTATTAAATTTTTACACTTTTTGGCCCAACAGATAAAACTTTATTGATATTTATAGAAAAAAAAACTAAAAAAAATTGAAAGGTGTAAATGTCCATAAACAGCTCAAAAAGAGTCAAAATATTTTCAAAGTTGTATGGTGTATAGAAAATGCTAATTTAAACATTCAGTGAAATTTTCATGTATCTACAGTTGTTCGTTTTTGAATTGCAACAAAATAAGGAAATCGCTACATGAGTAATCGAGTGAAAATCCAATGTTGTAAAAATTTGAATTTCAAACGCTTCTACTGGAAAATGTTTACTTTTGACCCCCCAAAGTACCAACTAGATTCACTTTCCTATCAGAAAAGGTACCATTGAAGAAAATCGAAGCACTTTTACTGTCCCAAAACGTGATGACAGACACAAAAATATAAAAATATAAAAATATAAAAATATAAAAACACACATCATTGTAAAACCAATACATTCATCGCTCCGCTCAGAATCTAAAATTTTAAATTTAAAATGTCTTCAAAAGTCAAAATTTTTTGAAAATTTTACCGTTTATAGAAAATGCTAATATAAACAAAGAGTGAAAATGCATGTATCTACTGTCTTTCGTTTTTTAATTACAACACTAAATAAGTAGGGATGGGCCGATACTAAAACCGATACTCGATATCGGTGGTATCGGATTTATCAATTATCGCCTATCGGTATCTTTTTTTTTTGATAACAAAAAAAAAACAACCAAATAAATCAGCATAATAGCATTGATTATAAATGTATATATGTATAATCGATGAATAATTACAAAAAATTTGTATTATCGGGTACCGGGTATCGTTATTTTAGCTGATATTGGTTGGTAGTATCGGTTATTTTTTAATATCAGTTCATGGCTTATGCCGAAAATGTTGGTTTTCAAATATATAGGTTATCGGTTTTTTTATCGGTATCATAATACATCGGAAAGTTATATAGTCTCACCCTAAATATAAATTAATCGCGCTACATAAGAAATCGATAGTGAATATCCAATGTTGTAAAAATATGAACTTCAAACGCTCATCTAATAGATTTAAAATGAAAAATGTTTATGTATTTTTAACTCAAAATAATTTTCACATCTTCCTGATTTTATTTTGCCAAGATTTTACGTTAAATACTTATAAAAAAATTGTAACTATGGATTTTTAATATTTTCAAATATCATTGTAACAATATATTAGGAGCCATGTATTTAACTTTCAAGCTTTTTTACCCAACATATAAAATTTTATTGACAATCATGGAAAAAAATTAAAAAAAATTTGAAACTGAAAATTTTTTTTTTGTTTTTCTATTCTAAATTTATTATTTTCAGATTCTACACAATATTTTGATATGAATAGCAAAAACTTGATTTGATTGTTCATAGATAATATTATATTTAAATATATCCACAAAATATCAAAAATATATTTCAATTGTATATAGTATAGTATATACCATTGCAATATAAAACAACATTTTTAAATCATTGTGGTTGGCTGCAGTCATCAAAATCTTGTTGACAGTCAAAACTGGGCCTCATGGCGCTCAATTTGTTGATGTCACTCAGCTGGTTTTGAATATTGGTGGATACCGGGATACAGCAATAAATATAATAGAAATTAATAAATTATAATTATAAAATTATAATTTTAATAAATTGGTGATTTTTTGATCTTATAAAAAATTGTCAATAATAAATTGTTAAAATATAATATACATATTACATACAAATAAATATAGTTTGAAATGTTTGAATAAATCGGTTAATTTTTTCGATCTTATAAAAATTGTCAATAATAAATTGTTAAAATATAATATATAGTTCTAAATGTAATATCTGTTATTTAATATCTATTAACTGTGGCACACAGGTATCTAGGGTTTTTACGCTTCGTATGATACAATTTTTTTTTTCCTATCTCATTTAGTCGATAATGTCTTCCACCGATAATTTTGTACTTATTAGAGTAGAGTTTCTCAACCTTTTTTGTGGCAACCCCTCCTGAATATTACACTTTTAGTGAACCTTAAATATACAGGTACGTCAGGTATAAATTAGTAGGTATTAAAAATAAATACTAGTATTATGATAATTATAAAACACAAAGCACAGATATTGCAGTTTTTTACCTGTTAAAAACCGTTTAGCTAAAGTATAATTTTACTATAAATGTATTTATATTGTATAACAGATATTTGTTTAAATATAATTAATATTCATTCTTAAATTAAGTTTCTTTATGGCTTTGTTGATGTTAATGTTCTGAAATGATTCTGTCTATCCTAGGCTTAATATAATAGTAATTTGTTTAGCTAATTCTCATAATTGTAGAACAAGATATATTTATTTCTTATTGAGTTTCCTAATTTATTGTATTGTTTTAAATCATATATTGGTGATCCAAAATAATTAGTTTGGTGACCCCCAAGTCGAGAAACATGTTTTACTAGAGTAATACTTTTTATAAGGTTTATTGACCTTTCTTGACATGAGTTTTTGAAAATTTTTTTTTTCTTATCTTAAATCTTATCTTATACATCTTAACTAAATTGATCAATCATTATTTACAATACAATATATTTTCTTTTTCAAAATATATTTTGTTCATTGAAATGTTTTACTAATATCTATACCATATTCCAAGGTTAGGTTAGAATTTTGAAGAGTACCTACTATTCTCACACATTGGCATAATGTATAATAAATGTCACTTTGAAATGGTACGCGTACAATGATTATATTTTGTGTCAAGTGCACTCTTTATTGTTTCGGTATAAGTTATAAACTTAGGTACGCCCTATGTATTGCATCGTATAGGACGATAGCAGTAAATTCCTCTCCATATTCTAGTAGTTTACAATATGTTTAATTTTTAATATCAATTAATTTATGTTTTTTATTTATTCCATTTATTTACATTTAAAATACAATGCGTATATTTAATTTTGATTTATTTATTGAATAAACTTCTCGATTTGTTTATAATCATAGTACGTTTGAATTTAGTTTTTTTGAAATGTCCCTATAGGTATCTAATTTTAAAATTTTTTAAACTGTACATATTGAAAACAAGTACTTATAGATAAATTACAAATTAATATGATATACGATACAAAATACAACTGTTATTAAACCTGTATGAATAGATATTATTTGGGAACTCGATTTATCTTCATATTGTTCATCCACAAATGTTGTAGTTTCTTTGGGGTCAAAAATTTCATATGTTACTTCTGTGCTTATCTCAGTTGTAGTAAACGTGGTGTCCATCGCGGTCGTCGTTGTATCTGATCCATAATCGGATATAGTTGTTTTCGGTTCTACGGATGACTGACTCGTAGGAGCAGTAGAAGGTATTGTAGTTGGATACGTCACTGATGTAGTATCTGTTTTTGACGTTGGTTCAGATTTATCAGTATCTATGGTAGTGGGTTTCTCTGAAAATGTGGGTTCCTCTGTATCGGCCGATTCTGTTGGTTTTTTAGTTATATCCTCTGTAGAATATTGAGTAGGCAACTCCGAATAGGGTTCGTCTTCCGTGACTTTTGTTCTTTCAGTTATAGCCGTTGATGGTTTCGGGGATAACGTTGATACTTTTGTGGTTGAAGATTGAGTAACAGGTTCGATATCTTCGGAGTAATCTGCTTCTTCAGTATATCCCGTATCTTCAGTATATTCAGTTTCTTCGGTATATTCCGTTTCTTCGGTATATTCAGTTTCTTCGGTATATTCAGTTTCTTCGGTATATTCCGTTTCTTCTGTATATGCCGTTACTTCAGTAGATTCCGTTTCTTCAGTATATGCCGTTTCTTCAGTAGATTCCGTTTCTTCGGTATATTCAGTTTCTCCAGTTACAGTCGTCGAAGGATTAGAACTCGTGGTAAATTTCTCTGTAGTTGAATATTGAGTAATAGGAGGTTCAGAACTAGGTTTGTCTGAGGTTTCTTCAGTTTCTTCGGTATATTCCGTTTCTTCAGTGTATGCCGTTTCCTCTGTAGATTCAGTTTCTTCAGTATATTCTGTTTCTTCGGTATATTCCGTTTCTTCGGTGTATGCTGTTTCTTCAGTAGATTCAGTTTCTTCGGTATATTCCGTTTCTTTGGTTTTTTCTGTTTCTCCAGTTAATGTCGTCGAAGGATTCGAACTTGTAGTAAATTGCTCTGTGGTTGTAGATTGAGGAATAGGAGGTTCAGAGCTGGGTTTATCTGAAGTTTCTTCGGTTTCCTCGGTGAATTCTGTTTCTCCAGTTAAAGTGGTTGGAGAACTCGGGCTTGAAGCAGATTTTTCCGTGGTTAATGATTTAATAAAAGTAGTAGACGAATATGATTGTGTTGAAGAAGTAGGATCATCTGACTCTGTTGTAAAATAAGTTGGTGTTTCTTCTGTAGCTTCTGAAGATGGATCAACAGACGGTCTGTTTTCGTTATCTTCAGTGCGTTCTGTACTTCCGGAATAATCTTCTACGTACACTATGGTACTACTGCTTTCTTCTGTTACTGTTAAAGGCTCTTCACTCATATCGGTTTCTGTTGTGTCTCCATCTGTTACCATTGAATTAGTATCAGACAACAAATTATTATTGAATACAAAATAGTTCGTATGTTTTTCTGATGTTTTATTAGAAGTAATTGGGTTGATTACATTTTGGATCCAATTTTTGTACTTCAAAATGTTATTAAATATCTTAGGTTCATTGAGTGAGTATATGCCATATAGATGATTATTACAGACCAAAGGAGTTCCATTATCGGTTATCTAAAAAAACAGGTGTGATAAAAATAATTTATATACATTTGATACACCTAGTAAGCACGTTATTGACTATTGTAAATATTAATTATTTATACGTAACATCTAGTAGCTTGTACACTTATTCTTAATTTAATGTTGAATAATAATATTATTTGCAATATTATCTTATTTATTGTAAAACAAATATTAATTTCCCACATTTTAAACCATTTTAATCAAAATAAGAATATATTAATCGAGTTAGAATTACACATGATTTACTTTGTATTATAGAATATAATATAGTATACATCAATTCTATAAAACTAAACCGTTAATCTAAAATAAATATTATTCATTTCTCTAAGTAGATAAATAATATGATAAATATCCATTAACAAGTTTATTTTATAAAATATCTTATTTTTAGTATTTATAATATCTACAATAACAACCAGTATTGTATATTTGTATATAATATATTAATATAGTGTAAAGATTCGTTTCTTAAAATTATTATTATTTATTTTCAAAACCACGTCGTTGCCTTGTCGGTATTTTTCGAAATAATAAAGTATGTAGGCGTTTGTGTTGAATTTTATGTAAATTAATTATTCAGATTATAAATATAATAAGTACATTAATTATTCTTTTTGATTACATTTAAAACTACGAAGACTTACGTTCTGTAATGAATTCCATATTTGAGAATGGCAAATCGTATCTTCTAAGTACCATTCGCCCTTTTTATATGGTTGTTTTGAAATATTAACCACGTTCCAATATATAAGTGGTAAATCATTGTTTGACTGTTTTTGAAAACTGGTGACAACGCATTCCGTATTGTTCGAAAGTTTATCTTCAGTGGCCAATTCAATAGGTGCTCCAATAGTGGCAATAATGGATTTTTCCATCTGTTGCGCATAAATTACGAAAAAAACGTATGAGTGGCAAAACAATCTTTTAAGATGGTAGTTATCTTAAACTTTTTACCTCAATTAATGCCACATCGTTGTATTTTGTTTGTATCACTTTTATGGGCTTCAAAATGGTCTCATGTGTTTTATTATTTGGCATCGCAATATCAATACCGTTCAGGGGAATTTTGTCTGTAGTACTAGAAACAAAAATTAAAGTCCATTCAATAATTTATAATAACTCATATTTTATAACTAATTACTATAAAGTGAAGATTCAACAAATTAAATACCTACTTAATGCAATTCGACGAGGTTAGAATCCAATTCACATCGATCAATGTGCCTTTACATAATATTTCTCCGTTTGAATGCATTCTAAGAAACACCTACATCCGGAAACATAAAATTCCATCATATTTCAATGCATGTGAAAAATACCAAAATCAAAGTACTTACTATGTAAGGGAATTGTTCGTATTGCGCCTGTGAAGGTGGTGAACATTTGTTTTCATTTGGTAAAGGGTTTGTGCTTGATTCTTAAAAATAACATTTCATTTTTTAGAATTATTAGGGAGCTAAATTGTTATATATTCGATTTGAAATTTGAGTATGGATCGTGAGAAATGTCCAGTGATTAGGTCTGGTTTTGCAGGGAATAGGTCACATATTCCTTGTTGATTTTAAAAATATGAAATACCTATAAAATATTGTTGTTAGGCTTATGATAAATAGTTATTTTCTATATAGGTATCGAATTTGTGTTATATCAATTTAATACAGGTATTAATTTATTTAAAATAAAATACAATTATATACTTATAAGTTATAATAATTATATTAACAATAGGTACATTTTAATTTAAAAAATATACTTGGATATACAGATTTTGTAGGTAACTTAAGTAATTATTAATAATTGTATGATATCTTTAATCTAAAATATTATTTTCTTGAACGATACAAATGTATATTATTAAAATAATTAAAAATACATTTTCTTAGTAGTGCATTTAATTTTAATACCAGATATTATTTCATTAGAAGATAAAATAATAATAATAATGTATTTATTAGGTATTGTTAATAGTAAAAAGTACTTAGGTACCTAGTCAATCAGTTCAAACTTTAAAAATCAAATCAAAAGCATACTACAAAAAACAACGGAAATATAAATGGTATTGTATTATATACAAATGGATTGAAAAACTTATTGTTTAAAAAATAATTTTAGTTAAATATTTAATTGATCGTTAGGCGGTGATAAAAATATCAGAGTTGTTCCAGTAGGATGTGTTCAGGTTAAATAAAACACATGACATTTTTTAAGTACGTATTACTCTCACTTACCTTTTAGTATCAAGAAGCCGAATAAAACAATTTGAATATATTTGAACTTGTCCATGTTTAAACAAAATAAAAAAGTACTATACATTATGAAATTTAATTTTTAATTTACAGTAAAAGTGATTACTTAACACTAAGGTGTGCAAGTTGACACCTATTGGCAATCAATAGATTACACATTTTCACATGTTTAGTATCAATAAGATAATTCTATAAGCACTTCACTCTGTTGAATTATCATCATACGTGTAAAAATTAGGAGGACATGTATTGGAACATGTTATAACAATATAAACTATTTTATTTTGATCGAAGGTTGACTACGAAAAACAAGTAGGTAGGTACTTCAAAATATTCCGATTGTTCTGATGATAATAATAATAATAAAAAACTGCCATGTACTAACTACAGACCTAGTACGTATATGAGCATCGTATATATAGATTGGTCAATAATCTATACCTAGTTCTTATTCCTTGCAAATATTTGTTGATAAACAATAAACAATAAAAAACTTGTATCATATAAAAAAAAAAATTGTAATGAATCAACTGTATAGGTTACATATAATATTATAATAATACATAGATCCTTATTATTTTATGATTGTATGTGAGATTTATATGGGTGTACCTACATGGCTACACCCACATTGCACATAATTCGATTATAGTATATTATTTAATTGGATTATTATTTGTTTTTAACTACAAAAATTATAATACAGTATGTACCTAATATAAATAGGTACAACACACGCGTATATTATATTATAATCTTTAAAAAATTATCTTATTCATCTTATATAGTACACAAAAGGAAAAAAGGCTTAATATAGTGTGTAAAAAAAAGTTTTAAATAAATCATAATATGTGAGCTTATTTACTATACACCTATATATTATAATATTTACCCATCCGTATTGGACAAATGAAATAGGATAATCATTAGCCGTCACTCATGACTAATTAAAGATCCTTTTTACAGTCCCACCTAATTTTCAATTTATATACTTAAAAATAATAATATAGTTTTAAGTATTTATAACACCATATTTTTCCAAATATGTAATTTTTACTACTTTTTAGTTTTCATCATTGTAATTTTTTTTTCCATATAGGACATATTTTTAAGTTTATACTCGGAAGTCGGAAGCAATGATTTTTTACAAAATGTTGATGTAAGAAGTCCCGATATTAATTATCTGATGAAGTTTCGAATATGGACCTCGTCACTCTATAACACCACAAGTTCTAATTTTTGGAGCCAAAATTTCACGCGATTATGTAATCATTTTGTAACCAAATGTAATCACGATAACTTTTTTTGCAACTTACGAGGAAGTTCAGAATTCCAAATTTTAAATCTTTAGGCTGGTCCTACGTCACCCCAGCACCCGGTACACTTCAAAATGATTTATTTGATTAGACATATTCACAAGATTATGTAACCATTTTGTAACGAAATGTAAACCAAAATTCTAGATTCCTGACTTAACACAAATCCTGCAAAAATTGTTATAAGTTGGGTGGTCAACATCGTGCGACATCATTTAAACATAGGATAATACAGTTAATATTTTAAACTTACCTAAAAAGATTTCTTTTTCAAAATTACGAATTTGATAAGAACTGTTTTCCAGATGCTATTGAAAATAATTAATCACCGATTCTCATAAAAATAAAAAAAAAATAATTTTATTGTAGGTACACATAATTATAATTATGTAGTTACTAGTCCTTAATTATAATTTATAAACCTATTAGACCACATAAAAGTGTGTAATATACGTAGTTTGTTTAAGTTATTCAAACTACTTACAAGCAAATAAGGCACAACTAGAATACACAAGGTTTCGAATAATCGAAGTTCAAACAATAATAATAATAATTATAATAATATATAATATAATAATATTCAGTATTCACTCTACTATATCTATATTTATATACACCTAATCGTTATGGAAGAATAATGCGATTTTGTTGTACACGACAACATCTCTTAAATAAAATAATAATATTATATGTACAATTTTATAATCTATGTAATAGCTAGGTAGTGTTGTTTATATCTAAATACAAAAATAAATAAATAGTTTTTATTAGTTTCCTTTGGACGAGTAATACCGAACGATTACAGTTCCAATTGGAATGTACACACACGACACACAAATATAATAAAAATATAATATTATTCCTATAATAATAATTGTACCTAAATAAATTAGGGATAAAAAATTGATAATTCAAATTATTACTTATTTACATAAAAATGATTATTTTAGACCTTATAAATATCGATTCTTATAGTATAATATTGATCTTTTTTAAATAGATCGTCTCTGCGAACGTGCTTGTCACATAATTCTCGACGACGGTGATTTGTACGAAACCATGATCGTCCATCGATAATTATTCATCATTAGTATATTATACCAGGGATGGCCGTGGGCGATGCAGAAGATGGTCTCTCATGCCTGCACACCAAAACGTCTATATAGAGCGTACTGCAGAGTGCATTAGACCACGTCTTATACACACGAATTATTTGAGGAGACATGAACGATTTGAAATGAAGCGTGTCGGAATCATTCGAATTCAGTTTGATACTCGTACGTGTCAAACTGAAACCTCCTGTGTCAGTTGATGAAAGGTGGAAGTGGCGTGAACGGTGGCTCGACTTTTATCGCAGTCTCCTCTTCCCCGTCTTCGTCTATCTGCTGCTGCTGCTGCTGTTGCTGTTGCTGTTGATGCTGATGCTGATGCTGCTGGTGATCCTGGACTTCGTATCCCATGGTCCCGACGATGTCGCACTCGGCGTCCGGCTGCAGGAGTCCTGCCATGTCCTGGCTCATCACGTACGAGTCGACCACGTGCTTGTTGAGCTGATGCCCGTGATAGTCGCGGTCGGGCGGCGATTGGTCCAAAGGACCCATCATGTCCTGCCGGGCCAGACACTGCATGCTGGCCGAGAACAGGCCCGGGCTGTCTTGTGGCTGGACGGCGTACGGCGTGCCGCCGAAGTTGTTGTTGTTGTTGTTGTTGTTGCTGCCGCTGCCGTGGAACGCGTTCTGCGCGAACGGCGACGACCCGTTGCTGTTGAGCAGGTTCAGGTGTGCGAGGTCCCCGTAACCGGCGGCACCATAGCCCCAGGGCTCCGAGCCGCTGAGCGTGACCGGCGAACACGTGCCCAACGACGGCGACACGTTACCACCGAACGTCGTCAGAGTGGTGAACGACGTCGAGCTCACCGACGATCCCGGAGATCCGGACGGGAAAACTGTAACGTAATCGTAATATGACGATAAGATTACTGCAAACACTCCCGAGAACACCATAAGGTTGTGTTTGAGAGGGGTGGTTAAGAGGACGCCACACCCGCACGTGTTACCTTCGTTGTATAAAAACGAGTAATGAATTATATAATAGACAAATTGAGTTCAGTCTGACCAACTTTGTGTATTTATAACTTTAATTTAAGAGTGAATTGATCTGTAGTTAAACTTATTGATAAGATCATTATCTGTGTTTGTACGTACCTATTGGATTTTATACTATTTTAGTTTTTAATTTGGATTTATAAACTGCAATATTTTTTATAAGTCTACCTGTATAGCATAGGCGAAAATTGAGGGGGGCTAAGCCCCCCAAACTTAGACGTAGCCCCCCCAAAAACCTAGGATATAAAATTTAAAAATGCTATATTGCAATGGTCTGCTGACTTTAATACATTCAGCCCCCCCAAGTCAAAAGTTAAAATTGCGCCTATGCTGTATAGTTACAACTCGCTTAAAAATATAAATATTGTCAAAACCCAACGTACAAACATTAATAAATATTCTTACCTTTGAGAATATCAATAGATTAATTCACTTTAATAATATTAAAGGAAACAATATAAAATTTGTTTCGCTGAAGGCAAATTTGATATGTCTTACGTCTGTAAAATGGTAACAATGCATAGTAGGTGTAGCGTCTTCTATTGAGAGGAGGTTGAATCTTAAGGGAGTTAGCCAACTGCCAATAAACATTTATACATACTATAGCTCAGTGGCTTAAAGAATGATTTTTCAAAGATGTGCTGGGACTCACGATATAATAATTTAGTAGGTATCCAGTACTACTATCCAGGAGGTAAAATATAAATATGATATCAGGGCTTCAGACATTTATTAACATTTTAACGTTTTACGTTATCACTTGTTAGTTGTTTCTGATGTAAGTGCACAGGAAAAGTTGTAAATTTGAAATTCGTCACCATAGTACTCGCCATGACAAATTAAATACAATTATTTATAATTTGTCATGGTACTCGCTTCCTATCTATATAGTACCTGCTATTTTTGACAGGATAATCTTATGAATATCCGTTTATAAAAAAACCAGTCTCCGGACATTACATAAGACACTCAATAAGCAAAAAATAAGGAATATAAATAACAAATTTATTTTCAGATTATCGATCGGAACTTAGGAAAAAAAATAAATATTTTTAATCATTAGCTTATAGTTTATACGTAAATTATATTTTGAGCTAACGACAATATAATATAATTTGACATTTTGTATAGTACACTTGAGACTAAACCTTATGTATTTAGTTTTTTAAGCGAGAAAATGTGTATGTAGCATGTTTGTATATAGGATATTACCAGCTGTATTCTAGAATACACTTACCGGAATTGGTCAAGTAAACGGTTTTCCTGGGTGGCTCCCTCTTTCGCCACTTAGCCCTCCGGTTTTGGAACCATACTTGAACCCTAGACTCGCTAAGCTTAAGGTTCAAAGCCAATTCTTCTCTGGCGAACACGTCAGGGTATGGAGCTCTCTCGAACGCTCGTTCCAACTCTTCCAATTGATGAGACGTGAACGTTGTCCTGCACAAATAGTAAACGATAGTGATATTTTATTCTAATTATGTTATTCAATGTATTTTATGAGTAAACTGACCTCGTCTTTTTCTTCTTCGTACCGTTGTTGTCGGTGTTTTTCGATTTAGAACTAGATTTCTTTGGCGTCGGTTGATCAGCCGGTAGTCCTACAAACAAAACAAACGGTTTATTGACGACGTGGAAAAGCGAAAAAACGAAAACTTGTAAAAGAAACATTTGTATCTTGCAGCGGTATTCTTTCACAATAAACAAATTGGTCTTTTACCATTGAAAAATTGAATCAAACTTATAACTTTTAAATATTTCAAATTATTTTTTTTTTTGTTAATTAACAGGAAAAAGTATTTTTAGTAATTAAAAACTATCATTTTAATCTTAATTCTTTCTTCTTATATTCAACTATTTAACTTTTATACTTATATACAATTTAACAGTAAATTATGTGGTAGTAATCATTTTTTAAACGATTAGACCATTTTCTGTTCCAACCTGCAGCTGTTGAGCTACGCCTATCTACCTAATATATAAGTCAATATCTATAACCACAAGATAAAAATTGATCTTATTATTCCTATTTCCGGCGTACGTTGTTGTGTCGATACGAAATTATGTGATTTTGTGACTTCGCCCACCTTCACATTATAATATTATAGTTGGGAGCTGTTTAAAATATAATAATATACCTGAAGACTGTTGACCGGTGGTCGGCAACGGGTTCGAGTCCATTTCCAACTTGATGGCGTGTTTCTGGCCGTTGGCGTTGACGACGATGTCGGCCGGCTGCACCTGAACGGTGGACGTGACAGGCATCTGAAACATGTCCTGCGGATCGCCAATCTGTACCTGCCTGTCCTGCTGCTGCATTTGATCCTGGACGCCGTGATGGTGCCTATGCATGTCCATGTCCTGGAGCTGGTGGTGGTGATGGTGATGATGGTGCTGCAAGTCCATGTGGTCGGGCACGGGCAGCGCGTATCCCATCATGTCACCCGGCTGTTGGAACGCCAACAGCGGCTGGTGCTGGTGGTGCGCGGGCGGCGACCCTGGCTTGGTCTGGTGGTGGTATTCGTTGAACATCATAGACTCGTCGAACGCGCCCTCGTCCATGTTTGGAACGGGTGAAAACCCGTCGGCGGTTATTGTTGTTGGCGTATTCGTCGTATATAATTGCGGTTATCACAGGTTCACGTCCACACGCACACGCGCGCGTCGCAATAACGAGAGACGGGCGGCGGTGGTCCTCCGTGAGCGGCGGTGGTGGTGGAGGGACGGTTAATTTCTGTTGATTGTCTACAATTGAAGCGGCGGCGGTGACGACGACGGGCTGAATTATAGAGGACCTAATATTATTATATTAAATAAACTTCGTTTAAGGGCAATTTAAAAAAGCGAACCCGGTTTTAATAGTGGTCGGGCTCGCGCGACTTGGAGCATTCGCGTAGTCGCTGCTCCTCCGACGCGGGTGAGTGACTCGTTCGGTCTCTTCGGAGACGCAATCGGAAAAACGAAAACAGATAAATACGAATCGCCGGCGCGTCGCACGTACAAATTACGTTTGTTAATTATTATTATTATTATTATTATGATAAAATATTGTGTCCGCGCGGCGACGACTTATATTATTATTTTAAACGGCGGCGATGGGAACGCGTGTGGCCGCTCTGCGGTGTACGTCGTGCTCGGACCGTGTGAAGTTCAAAGTAAAAACGTACCGTGTGCCCGATGTAAGTTTTCGCGTTCGACGGGACGTGCGTGCATATATATGCGCGTGTACGTGGGCTGCGACCAATAGGGGCTTTTGGGAGTGGTGGCCCGTCGACCAATGCGACGCGCGTACACACAGCTAGGTATACGGCTCGCGGGGACCGAAGTGGTCCCTTCGTCTATTATAGTATCGCACACGCACACGCACAAACTCGCGCCCACACACACACACACACACACACACACACACACCCGCACGCGCACACATACAATATTATTATCATTATAATATTGTACCGACACGATATTAATAATATAGTGTCAATGAGGCTGACGGAAATTATCCCGTTCTTAAGATATTAACATGATCATAATATTATATACAACGACGCACCAAGTACGCGATAACACTGCGAAATAATAACAAACAATAATACAATTAACGCTGTTTTCGACGATTATACAGAGGACGTATAGGTACCATAATATAATAATATATTATCGTCTCCGTCCATCTAAAGTATATATATATTATAGTGTCGCAAACCCAACTAGGAATCGTGGCATGTAGTGTTCAAAATCGATCTTAGACAGTTGAATATTTTCACCGAATTCGAAGGGGAGGTTACTTTCGGGATAATGTCGTATCCATTCTGCAGTAAAATATTGTGAATTTAAGTAGTTAGAGCGTTTTACGTTTTATTTAGGTGTTATTATTAGAAATGGGTAAAACCTCAAAATATCGTCTTGAACCATTTTAATGGCGAACCTAACTTATCTATCTTATATCGAATCGAACGCAAACCGGGAAATTCAGTGTGATGTCAAACTCGAACCGAACTTTTTAATCGTACTTGAACAGAACATTTCGTTCAACATCAAACCAAATCTGTACCATATATTACTTATTATATTTCATTATTGAACTGAATCCAAACTAAACTTTTGAATTAAATGTCAAATAAAACTTTATAGCCTTATGTCAAACCTAATAATAACTAACAACTATATGCTAAGGAGTAGGACTAAGGACCGATTTTTTTTGGAGTTTGAATTAATTATAGAATTTTGAACATTTTGTTCGGTTTGGTTTGGTATTTTGAAGCTTGGTTTGACTTCCAAACTCGAACCGAACACCTAAAGTTCGGTTCGATTGTTATAGGCTTATAATAGCCAATTTTCGTTTTGTTGGGATCTTAATACCTACCTACTTAATTATATTTATTAATAATGAGTGACATTAGTCAATGAAATAATATATAAGTATTTTATAATATGTAAAAATTATCTGATCATAATATAAGTAGGTATTATACACTAAAATATTTTGCGTCTATTTTATATTTGGTGTAAAATAATTATTAATGGATTAATATTCTTAGTACTCACATAAAGTATATTAACTTATAAACTATACTCGTTCAAATTGCGATTTGGATGAATCCACATTTAAAGAAATAATCATCTATCTTACAATTTACAGTAAAACTAGAAAAGGTAGTTTTTATAGATATATATAACAAAAAGTTGTTATCAGTACAGGACACTCCACAAACGGTATAAAAATCTACTTACCCATCTAAACATATGGTCTTTAAACTAGTTTAAAGTTTATGTATATAGCCATATAGGTATCAACGGATAAGTTTCTACTTAGCAAAATATTATAATTCAAGTTATAATTTTAGTTATTTCCATAGTACCTATCGCTAAACAACCAATATCTAGATGGTTTCAAAATAATTAAATGTATATACTTACTATTACTTGTTTTTTTCGCAATTTAGAAGTAAAACTATCTATATTATATAATATACGAAATCATAATAATATGTGTTAGTACTTAAACATTTTACTTAGTACTTAAACAATTTTGTAAATCATTTTTCAGTTGGAAATTCACAAAAATATTTTATTTTCCTATACCTAGACATTTTAATAGAAGTTTCCTCACATATTTTTCTACCTTTGACAAAAAAAAGTTTACTGGAATGTCAAGCCATTTAATATTTTTGATTTTTATTAAGTTTGATTTTTATTATTAAATTTGATTATTTATACAAGGATTATTATTTTATAGGAGGACACAACTTGTCAACTGAGAATCGTTTTTCGTATGCTATGATTTATCATTGTATTCAAATACAACACATCCATTACAATGACATTATCGACAACTACTGTACAGCGGTACCTACTTGTCAACTTATTTTTAAAAATTTAATTGAGCCTATTAATTGTATTGGGAAATTTATGCAAGGAAATATATATAACTAGTCATCATAGTTGGAATTGAGGGAACGTAAAAAAATCGGTCGCATTTTAACATAAATATAAAATAATAATACAAATTTCAAATTCTGCACTTCGTAATAATAAAATAGGCACAAGTCAGAAGTTATGATGGAGAGTTGAATAGGCTGAGACCCCCGATATTTTTACTGGGAGATATTTATATAATCTAAAAATTCTCTATTTCTACAGGAGGAAATTTTATAATTGTTATATTATTGTATTATAATTTTGACTACATTTTTTTTATCATTTATTTGGTAGTTTGTCTAGGCAGTAGACATATATCATTCATTTCCTTGAACAGATGAGTTGCGCAGGGTAGAGTAACATCTCATAATGGTATATAATCTTGAGACATGTCACGGACATAATAAATTACATGTATACCTACCTACAGTTACAATTTATAACTATGTAGGTATACAAATTGTGTTTAAAGGTGTTTTATTTTCTTGAAAAGTTTTAACTTTTTGGAACTGTATTTTTACATAATTTTTAACCATTACTGCACAATAATGTGTTTGAAAAATGAAATTTTCATTTTCTATCGTTATCATTTATTCGTAAGTTATTTGTTTTTTGAAAGACCATACAATTTTAATTTCATATTTTAAAGCAGACTATTTACAACAGCATATATAATTAGGCTTAATAGTATTTAAAGTTGAGATGAGTGGCGCAGGGGACCAATAATTGGCTGGGTATTCCTAGTGTCATTAATTAACTGGTAGCAACTTATTAACTTTATTTACTCAAAATTTGATTTTATATATTGAAATAATATACAAAAATTCGGTTGCATAGTATTATGCAAAGAACAATGTATAATTGTTTTTTATGAATAAACAACCGTGATATATATTGTATAATATGTGTGTGAGATATATTCTCAAGAGACCTTTGTTGAGGAAACCTAATACTCCGATCGTCACTGTGAGTGTAGAGGGGGGGAGGAGTAGAGAGACGATCAGATAAATAATATAAGTATATTTATGACATCAGTATTGCTTCCGGAAGTCAAATATCCCGACTAAACGACGGGGTACCCAATTGCAAACGCTAACAAAAGTGCAGAACGTTTTCGCGGTTCCGTTTCTCGAAAATTACGTCAAAATCGCTATGTTTATCAAATTTGTTTAACCGATCGTGCTCCAGAAATTTTTTTTTTAAGAATTTCGTATATAACTGCATAGTGTGTCCCACCATGCAGCGACCCTCCACACACACACACACACGCGTTGCTCAGCCGTAACGACGTGCACCATATATTATAAACTGAGTAGCATATATAATACTATATACATCGTCTCATACATATAGACCTTTTAACACTGATGCGGAGGGTGATTAGCCTCGAAAATGCGGGACGATTATTACGGAAGCCCTTATTATTATTATTGTTATTTTATTTTTTCATCGTCATGCGCGTAGTATATATAATATATATTATGTACATAACATATTACATACGACGTGTTGCTGCACCGCGTGCAGTGCCTATATATGTATAATAATAATAATAATAATACGACCGACGAGATCGTCTCCGTGATAAACGTCTGTTCTCGCGTCGATTCCCATCACATAAGTGGTAAAAATACAATATAATATTGTTATTATTATGTATACATATTTCCGACGAAGAGTGTCCAAACGAGATTAATGTACAATACTACATAATATATGCTATACCCCTGCAGCGCTGCACACCGTTTTGGAAAAGCGGGTAATTTAACACGCAAAAGTCACGGCCCCTCTCATCACACGCCGCACACAACCGCGGTATACGGTATACGGTATACGCCTATTCGCGCGAGACCTGTGGTGGCGTCCGTCTCACCAATTGAGCGCATTATCCGAGTACGCAATCTTTTCGTGTATTGTACAACACTATAGCTGCAGCTCGTACAATGTTGGCGTTTTTTATCGCTACAATAATACCTGTGTATTACAATAAAAGCGACTAAGCGTTTACAAAGCGATGCATTTTTTTATAATCGTTTCCCGAACACTCGAACGAGTATTTATCGAATTCGTCTAAGAGGACGGTACACGCAGATATTTGTTTTCTTAGCCGTCTCATATACAATAGTGCGTAACATAGCAAA